CACATTCAGATCAGTTCATTACCACTTTCTAAGGTTACTAACTTACTTGTACAGGAGTGTCCCTAGTTTATAATGAACATCCTCACATTCAGATCAGTTCATTACCACTTTCTAAGGTTACTAACTTACTTGTACAGGAGTGTCCCTAGTTTATAATGAACATCCTCACATTCAGATCAGTTCATTACCACTTTCTAAGGTTACTAACTTACCTGTACAGGAGTGTCCCTAGTTTATAATGAACATCCTCACATTCTGGGAAAACTTCTAACACTTGTTCATAACATTGAAACAGTTCTTTCCAGCATTTTCTGTCTTGCAACATCTTGCTGTGTTTCTCTACAAAAGTAATAACACTGGTCACTAGTACTGCAGAATAATACATTTAACAATATGCAACCTAGATTTTATGATGTGGTGACGAAATTGTGTCAAAATAAGGCTTAGGATTAGAAATGGAAAAGTTAGATAATCACACTGCATGAATAAAGGTTACACATGACAAAAGGACAGAAATGGTTTTTGTTTCTTATTAAGCACAAAGTTACACAATGGGCTATTTGTGCACTGTCTACCGTGGGTATCGAAAATGGAGGTTTTTGAACTGTAAGCCATGATACTTATCACTGAACACTGGTTGGTGGTTACAAAGGGCATAAGTAAATATCATTGGTTACAACTTGACTAGGTCAACCTAACCTTTGTAACTTCCACTGAAAAATTAGACATAGCACTGCTCTGGCCACATCAGTAACAACTTAATTAGGTCAATGTAACCCTTGTAACTTCCACTGAAAAATTAGACATAGCACTGCTCTGGCCACATCAGTTACAACTTGACTAGGTCAATGTAACCCTTGTAACTTCCACTGAAAAGTTAGACAGCACTGCTCTGGACACACTAGTTACAACTAGACTACATCAACGTAACCCTTGTAACTTCCACTGAAAAGTTGGACATAGAACTGCTCTGGCCACATTAGTTACAACTTGCCTCTTAACATGGTATACTCTGATGGTGACCCTTCTGTAAACACATGTATCACTTATCCAGCTCTGGTTAACATCCTGACATGATGTATGTTCTAACAGTGACTCTTCTGTAAACACATCTATCACTAATCCAGCTCTGTTTAACATCCTGACATGATGTATACTCTGATGGTGACTCTTCTGTAAATACATGTATCACTTATCCAGCTCTGGTTAACATCCTGACATGATGTATGTTCTAACAGTGACTCTTCTGTAAACACATCTATCACTTATCCAGTTCTGGCTGACATGATGTATGTTTTGATGGTGACTCTTCTGTAAACACACCATCACTGGTCCTCATCAATAACACTTAGCAGAAGTATAGACAAAGTATTGGATGAAGATCAACAAGTCTACACCTATTATTTGTAAAGTGAATAATAACCAGTAGATTTGCGAGTGAACATTTTAAGCCTAAGATTCAGGAAATATAAATTTGTGTACTATCTGGTAAAGAACTGAAATTTTCTAAACCTACCTAATGCAAACAACAGTTTTGATTTCAGCTCATCTTTTAAACTTGGGTCCAACTGGAAGACGACACACAGATGAGCTAAAGTAAGACCATACTGGTGCTTTTCTAGACAAACGTCCGCTCGAAGCCTTGACCTCTTAAGTAGACGTGCTTGTCCAGACATAAGTTGTTGAGAAGTAGCCATAGCCAACTTGTAATAGAAAAAACAACAACAGTTTTTTCAAGAATTGAACATGCTGTGAAATGTAATTAAGTTCAGCTATATAAACTATGAAGTTTCTGTAACAAAAACCAATCAACTCTTGATGCACATAACAAACCTTTTTTTGTTACCGAGTTATTTTATACATCAGAAAATAACAATCCTGATTAGATGTTTTATAATATCAGGCACAAAATGTAAGTATATTAATTATAACTGATACACACTTATAGTTATACTCGTATGTAACAGAGTTCAGATTTATTATGGTTGAGTTTTTCTTTAGGATACTACCTAAATTTCAGAATATATATTTCCTAAATATTGATATTCAGTTTAAAAAAAATCACTTATTCTTAATGAAATCTAAATTACTTTTACCATTAGTATAGTTTTACTATAGGGCCCTTCAACACTATTATGAGGCCACTGCATTTTTTACATACTGTTAATATATATATATATGACCACATAATCAATGATTAACTACATAATTAATATGAGTATACAGACTTGGTATATATATATATATAATGAGTAGGTCAGTGTTACCTAATTTATAATTACTGTTGTTTTAGTTATGACTGTTTTTTAGTTAGTTGGCTATTGCTGGCCAGACAGTCTAATAAATATTAATAACAGCCTGTCAAAAAAATTCTAGTTTACAAATGTTTGCTGTTGTTATTTAATAACAAAAATAAACTTATTAAATCGCTGTTGATGTGGAAATGTATTAATTATATGGAAACAGCTTCTTCTTTTTAAATCTATTTTAATCTTTGGTAAGGGAGTGCAAAATATAAAACTTCCTTGCATAAACATTAGGGCCCTGTTAGTAATACTATTAATAGTATTATAATATTATTAGTAATAATACTAATAGTACTAAATACTAAGCATTAAATATCAAGCTAGGGGACTTGAAAGTTGAATATACAAGACTGCACGATTTGTAAGCATAATGAAAAAACTTAATACACACTACACGTTTCGACAGAGCATTCGTTTGTCTTCTGTCGAAATATTTAGTATGTATTATTCTTTTTTTCATTATGTTTACAAATCGTTGTGTCTTATAATATATAAACCAAGTTTGTGGTTGTAACGTTACTCATATTCATAACATTAACAGCTAACTCATTACTTAGTAGCTAAGTAAGTACTCTTAATCTTATCGGAACAGTTGAATAAATGCATATTAATGATAAAAAAACAACACAAAATGGATTAGTTTGAGTATTAACACTGCCAATGACATTTATTTTAAAAATTCATATACCTAAAAACTGCAAATTAAAGGACCTAATACTAATAATAGCACTAACAAACATTCAATTGCTGTTACTAAAGTTTCAGCACGCTTTTCGCGACATCTATTATCATGTGAAAATATTTGCAATATCTAA